TTAAGTAAAAATGTGGTGCTGCCTTAAAAATAAAAGGATCAGGCCGGACGCAGTGGCTCACACCTGTAATCCCAGCACTTTGGGAGGCTAAGGCGGGTGGATCACGAGGTCAGGAGATCGAGACCATTCTGGCTAACACGGAGAAACGCGGTGAAATCCCGTCTCTACTAAATATACAAAAAACTAGCCAGGCGTGGTGGCGGGCACCTATAGCTACTCGGGAGGCTGAGGCAGGAGAATGGCATGAACCCAGGGAGTGGAGCTTGCAGTGAGCAGAGATTTCGCCACTGTACTCCAGCCTGGGTGACAGAATGAGACCCGGTCTCAAAAAAAAAAAAAAGAAAAAAAAAGAAATTTTAGGATCAATCGAAAGACGGCTGGAAAAAAAAAGTTGTCTTGACATTGAACCCAGGTCATGGGGATGTTTTGTAGCCTAGGAATCCTAATAGTAAAGATTCCCTTAACACTTCAAGGCCTTATTATTACATAAGACCAAAACTTTTCTCAGTACGAAATTAGTAACTCAACTATTTTAGGCAGATACTTTTCTTTCCATGTTGCCCAATGTGGTCTCAAACTCCTGGGCTCAAGCAATCCTCCCAGCTTGGCCTCCCAAAGTGCTTGGGTTACAGGCCTGAGTCACTGCGCCTGGCCCAGATACTTTTTCTAATTAAGAAAAATTACAGCCCTGATCATAATAAGTCTTCCTATAGCCACCTCTAATAAGAAGTGAAACATTTCAAAACACAAGCCAAGCTCTGAACTGTCATCTGAGGTATGTAGCTTTAATCAATACACAATATATCTCCATTCCAAGCACTAGCCAAAGAACTCAATTTGAAAGATTGCCACTGAATCCTATCAAAGTGAAGTCAAAAAAGTCTGTTTGAAGAAAAGTTTCACACTAAATATACATCCCCCACCATTTCTAAAGCTCTCACCCTGCATAGTTAAATCACCAGAAAGCATCACACCATTGGCTTAGATTCCCACTAAAATGTTTTTAATGGGTTATATTTAATGTTACATCTGCAATTTCTAGGGTCAACAGAAGAAAGACCCATAAGAACAATGTTTTTATCTTCTGCAAAATTCCTGTTAAAGACACTGTCCATCATCATTTAGCATTCTTTATTAAGATTTACATGACAAACTTTTGACAGACTGAGAACCAGAAAAGGTTACTCTCCTGAAAAAACTGTTATACTGGGGTTGGCTGCACAACAGCCTGAGTGTACTTAACACTACTGAACTGTGCACTTAAAATGGTTATGATGGCAAATTTTATGTTGTATTTTACCACAACTGAAAACTTTTTTAAACTATAAAAAAAAATTGTCATACTGCTTTTTATCAGACAAGAACTATAATAAGTGGTGTACTTCTTTTTGTAATTTAGTTCAAGTACACTGGTGTCAGAAAATAGTACCAAACTTTAATGCTCAAGTACAATTACTATCTTACCTTGATTTTCAGGTAGAATTTTCTCCCTATACCACCCTTATGGTTTCTAAATCTCTGACTGTAATATTTCTTTTGTATACATGTCCTCTTAACTACCTCAAATACTTGGAATTCGATGGGGTACTAAGAACAAAAAAAAGTTAGAAACAACGAAACAGGATCCAAAGCCTGCTTTATGAGCAGAAACACAAACTCTTTCAACCTACCCCTAAGATTTATCAAGAGGGAGATTAAAGAGCAGGATAGAAATCCAATGGTTTGCCCGATAAACACTTTGTCTTGGTGGCCAAACAATTACATCTGGGACACCAGTAAGCAAATTACTTTCCAACTGATGCCACGTGAGGCAATAATCAGGCATTAACGTTTGTTCATGGGTATTTTCTCTCCTCTTTCTAGTCCCTTTAAACTTCTGTGGTTTGACGTCAGACCTGCTGGGAAAACTGAGGCACAGGAGGGTGCTGCTGGGACTGAAGAAGAGCTGCACATCTGTCAGACTCCATACTCAGAGCCAGTGCACGGTCTGTGTCCTACATCTCACAAAGAAAAGTCAACAGGGACACAGCCGGAGCTTCCGAATTTACTAAACACTGAATAATTCATTCAAAATCTATAGAGCTACATAAGCCTTTCGCTGAAAAACTGAAACAAAAATCCTGTTTTTGGTCTTATAGCATCCTTCAAATTAAAAAACTACCCCCAAATTTAAAACGAATACTCAACTACTCATTTCTTTAATATAGCCATATAGCACCACAGTTTAAATCAAATTCCAGTATAGCCACATTTATTTCAATCCTTCAATTTTAAAAGCCATCAAATTAAACTACAGCACACTATGTACAGGTCTGTTCATTTTTCAGTGTTTTCCTTTCATATTTTAATTTGGGACCACTACACCATAAAAGGTTCAGGTTAGAAATGCCATTATTTACAATTTTTTTTTCTAAGTATATACCAAGCACAAAGATTAAGGTCAAAGAGCAAGAAAAAATTCAATGATCCAATTTACTGATTTACTTACCAGAGCTTTAACAGAAGTACCCTTTTTGTTTTTTTAAGAAGTAGTCTCTTCTCAGAAGTAAATCGGTTTTGCACTTTTTACTTTTTAAACAAATGCATGTGACGGGGGAAATTAGAAGAAGGTTGGGGAGGCTTGCTTTATTTTACTCGCTGGTTCCACATCTTTCCAGCTTTTTAAAAAGAGCATCTTTAAACAAATTTTTGCATGCACTGCAGATTTTTGGCAGGGTAACTTTGTCCTATTTCAAAAGCTTTGCTGAATTTGAAAAACTACAATTACTGTTTTCATACTGTCATGTCAAAAATTCTGAGGAACTATTAAGACTGCTCTTTATTCCCTAGGCACACTAACTCTGACATGCTTAAAGGGCTCCGATTTGGCATTTAGTCACAAAAGGCACCAAGAGACATAAAAGGGAGGAACTCAGCTAAATCTTCCCACAGCTTAGGATAAAGCTTCAGTGATTAAAAACCTGTGACCTGATTTTCAAAAGGTAAAAAGAACAAATACTTCTCTAAACAAATATTTTATCTACCTTTAAATTTTTTCTTAGCAAGATTATCCCAATGGCAGCCAAGGAAATGCAGCAGCTTTCAGTTTAGTTTAGCAAAAAGTAAACTGGAAACAAGTTAAAGTATCAGAATTGATCCTTAAACCAGGTAAAACTGCCCTACTTTGTAAAATAAAGCATAATGTTTTGCTTTATACAAGGGAAACGGCAAGTATCTAATGACAAACACCAAATTATTTTGCATTTCAGGTAAGATCTAAAGAAAACAGGTATGTCTGTTACTGAGCAAAGAATATGACAAGAAGTGTTTTTGCTCAGATTCAGAAAGGATAGGAGACTGCAAACCCTATCAGATTATGATCTTGCTCAAGAAAAATAGTTTATCTTTAAAACAATTAGTGGAAAAGGATAACTGGCCCATAAAGTGTTTGTATTACACAGTTTCTTTTCTTTTTTTTCTTTTTTTTTTTTTTTTGAGATGGAGTCTCGCTCTGTCGCCCAGGCTTGAGTGCAGAGGCGCCATCTCAGCTCACTGCAAGCTCCGCCTCCTGGGTTCACGCCATTCTCCTGCCTCAGCCTCCCAAGTAGCTGGGACGACAGGCACCTGCCACCATGCCCGGCTAATTTTTTGCAGTTTTAGTAGAGGCAGGGTTTCACCGCGTTAGCCAGGATGGTCTTGATCTCCTGACCTCGTGATCTGCCCGCGTCGGCCTCCCAAAGTGCTGAGATTACAAGTGTGAGCCAACACACCCAGCTACACAGTTTCATATACAACATAACTAGAGAAAAATTTTAGATCCTTTTACCTTGTTCTATCCAATGAACCAGGTAAACCATTTCTATAAGGCCATGTTAGAATAGCATGGGGCCTGCCTACAAGAATGGAATAAAAAAACTATTTGAGTGAATTGGCTTTCACATTTCTCTCCTTTGTCAGTCTTAAGTAAAAGGAAGAAAGTAAAGGGAAATACGGGAAGATATGGTTCTTTGAAATAAAGCTGTTATGTCAGATGTATGTGTAAATTAAAATTTTACAGTAAAAAAGAGTAACAACTCTGCCCTCAGAACAGTAATGCTTTCCCTGAGTCAAAACAGATTGCTTAGACTATTTCTGGTATCCTTTTTGAACTGGCTGGACATGGCAGCTCACACCTGTAATCCTAGCACTTTTGGAGGCCGAAGCAGGAAGGTTGCTTGAGACCAGGAGTTTGAGACTAGTCTGGGCAACAGAGCAAGACTCTGTCTCTAAAAATAAATAAATAAATAAATAAATAAAATAATAATAATAATTTTAAAAGGCTTTATCTTTTTAAATTCTTGCTGAATCAAATAAAATTATTTGTACTGACCAAAAAAAAAAAAAAAAAGAAAGAGGCTAGGTGCAGTGGCTCACGCCTGTAATCCCACCACTTTGGGAGGCTGAGGCAGGCGGATCACAAGGTCAGAAGATCAAGACCATCCTAGCTAACACAGTGAAATCCTGTCTCTACTAAAAATACAAAAAATTAGCCGGGTGTGGTGGCGGGTGCCTATAGTCCCAGCTATTCGGGAGGCTGAGGCAGGAGAATGGCGTGAACCCAGAGCTTGCAGTGAGCCAAGACTGCGCCACTTCACTCCAGCCTGGGCGACAGAGCAAGACTCTGTCTCAAAAAAAAAGAAAAGAAAGTCAGTGTTTCTAAAATATAATGAAGACTTTCCAGAGAATCGTGTTATAATGTTTGGGTTACTGTAGTAGACAGAATAATGACCCCCAGAGATGTTGATGTCCCACTCTCTGGAATTTATAAATATTCTATCTTACATGGCAAAGAGACTTTTATAGATGTGATTAAGGCTACAGATTCTGATATGAGAGGTTAGCCTAGATTACCTGAGTGGGCTCCATCGAATCGCATGAATCCTTCCCATGTCGTACACCCTCTAGTTCAAAAAAAAGTCTGTAACACCAAAAAGAAGCCAGCCCAGGTAGACCACCCAACCCCATCCCTGAGGATTACTCACTTAATGAATTCCTCTTTACACTTTTGCAGCATCTCACATGTCTGCTGGATCTCTTCCTCACTCAAAAGCACCAACATCCCAATAGTGAGATGAAGCTTTTTAGGATTCTGGAAAATGCTGCTGTCAACCCCATGATCCTGTTATCAAAGGGAGAAAAACAAGAAACTCTGCCCTTACAAAGGCAAATGGCAAGAATAAAATTGAGTCCCCAGAAATACACCCACACACCTACAGCCAAGTGATTTTCTACAAGGTGGCAAGACCATTCAATAGAGACAATCTCCTCAATAAATGATGCTGGAACAATAGAATACCCACATGCAAAAGAATAAAGATAGACTACAACCTCCTACCATATAAAAAAATTAACACAAAATAGATCATGACCTGGAATTCGGCAATGGATTCTCAGGTATGACACCAAAAACATGGACGACAAAAGAAATAAACTGGACTTCATCAAATTAAAAAACTTTTGTGCATCAAGAACACTATCAGGAAAGTGAAAAGAAGCCTACAGAATGGCAGAAATATTTGCAAGTAATTTACCTGATAAGGGTCTAGTATCCAGAATATACAAAGAACTCTTCCAATTCAACAACGAATATACAATCTAATATTTTCATTTTTTTATTTATATTTATTTATTTATTTTTGAGACAGAGTCTTGCTCTGTTGCCCAGGCTGGAGGGCAGTGGCACGATCTTGGCTCATTGCAAACTCCGCCTCCCGGGTTCATGCCATTCTCCCGCCTCCGCCTCCTGAGTAGCTGGGACTACAGGCGCCCGCCACTATGCCCAGCTAATTTTTTTGTATTTTTAGTAGAGACGGGGTTTCACTGTTTTAGCCAGGATGGTCTCAATCTCCTGACCTCATGATCCGCCCTCCTCGGCCTCCCAAAGTGTTGGGATTACAGGCGTGAGGCGCCCAGCCCAATTTTTTTTTATTTTTTAAGAGACTGGGTCGTGCTCTGTCACCCAGGCTGGACTGCACTGGCATAATCACAGCATACTGTAACCTCAAACTCCTGGCCCAAGTGATCCTCCTGCCTCAGCCTCCTGCATAGCTGGGATTATGGGTGTGAGCTACAGAACCCAGTTGAACCTAATTTTAAAATGGGAAACGGGGCCAGGCACGGTGGCTCACGCCTGTAATCCCAACATTTTGGGAGGCTGAGGCAGGCTGATCACTTGAGGTCAGGAGTTCAAGACCAGCCTGACCAATATGGTGAAATGCCATCTCTACTAAAAATATAAAAATTAGCTGGGTGTGGTGGCAGGCACCTGTAATCCCACATACTCGGGAGGCTGAGACAAGAGAATCGCTTAAACCCGGGAGGCAGAGGTTGCTGTGAGCCAAGATCACACCATTGTACTCCAGCCTGGGTGACAAAGTGAGACTCTGTCTCAAAAAACAAACAAACAAAGAAACAAAAACAAAAACAGACAAAAGGACTTGAATAGACTTTTTCTCCAAGGCAGAAATACAAATGGCTAACAAGCACATGAACATTATTAGTCACTTAGGGAAATGCAAATCAAAACCACTGTGAGTTACCATATCACACCCACTAAACTGTCTATAATCAAAGTAATGGAAAATGACAAGTGCTGGCCAGGATGTGCAGAAATTGGAACCCACATACATTGTTGCTAGGAAGGTAAAATGACTCAGTCACTGTGAAAAACAGTTTGGCAGTTCCTCAAAAAGTTAAACATAGAATTATCATATGACCAGCAATTCTACTCCTAGGTATATGCCCAAGAGAATTGAAAAAGGGACTCAAATACATGTATAAGCATGTTTCCAGAAGCACTACTCACGACAGCCAAAAGATGGAAATAACCCAAATGTATATCAACAGATGAATGGATAAACAAACTATGGTATATATACACAGTGGAATATTATTCAGCCTCAAAAAGGAATGAAATTCTGGCCGGCCGTGGTGGCTTACACCTGTAATCCCAGCACTTCGGGAGGCCGAGGCAGGCAGATCACCTGAGGTCAGGAGTTCGAGACCAGACTGACCAACATGGTGAAACCCCTGTCTCTACTAAAAATACAAAAATTAGCCGGGTGTGGTGGTGTGTGCCTGTAATCCCAGCTACTCAGGAGGCTGAGGCAGGAGAATTGCTTGAACCTGGGAGGAAGAGGTTGCAGTGAGCCGAGATCGCGCCACTGCATTCCAGCCTGGGTGACACAGTGAGACTGACACCGTCTCCAAAAAAAAATTTTGGCTCTGGGAAGCACAAAAAGTAAATATACCTTATGAATCCCTTTTTTAAAAAACTGAGGTGAAATTTGCATAATATAAAATTAACCATTTTAAAGTATACAATACAGCAGTATTTATATTTAGTGTATTCAATGTTGTGCAACCACCAGCATTCTTTAATAGCAAAACTTTATCACCTGATAAAAGCATTCCATACCCATTTATTTATTTACTTTATTTATTTTTATTTTATTTTTATTTTTTGAGATGGAGTCTTGCTCTGTCGTCCAGGCTACAGTGCAATGGTGCAATCTTGGCTCTCTGCAACCTTTGCCTCCTGGGTTCAAGCAATTCTCCTGCCTCAGCCTTCTGAGTAGCTGCGATTACAGGTGCCTGCCACCATTCCTGGCTAATTTTTGGATTTTTTGTAGATGGGGTTTTACCATGTTGGACAGGCTGGTCTCGAAGTACTGACTTCAGGTGATCTGCCCACCTCGGCCTCCCAAAGCGCTGGGAATATAGGCGTGAGCCACCATGTCCAACCCTCATACCCATTTAAATAATCACTCCTCTTTCTCCATGTCCCATCCCCTAGTGACCTCTAAGTTGCCTTTTGTGTATCTGAATTTATCTATTCTGGATACATTATATAGAAAGAATCATACAACATAAGACCTCTGTGACCAACTTCTTTCATTTAGCTTGATGTTTTCAAGGTTCATCCAAGCTGAAGCATTATCACTGCTTCGTTCCTTTTTAGAGTTAAATAATATTTTAGTGTATGTATGTACCAAAATGTGCTTATTAATTCATCTACTGATGAAGATTTGGGTTTTTTGCACCTTAGGTATTAGGAATAATGCTGCTATAAACATTTGTGTACAAATTTCTGTGTTGACATATGCTTTCAGTTATTTGGGGTACAGGAGTAGAACTGCTGGGTCACATGGCAATTCTATGTTTAACTTTTGAGAAACCATCAAACCATTCTCTACATTGGCTGAACTAACAAACACTCCCAGCAGCAGTATATGAAGGTTCCTGTTTCTCCACATCTTCACTGACACTTCCTTTTTTAAAAAATGATAGCGATCCTAGTGGGTATAAAGTGGTATTACATTGCGGTTTTGATTTACATTTCACTAATGATCAATGATGATGACATCTTTTCATGTGCTTTTTGGATATTTGTACGTCTTCTTTGGAGAAATGTCTGCTAAAATCTTTTGCCCATTTAAAAATTGTCTTTTTATTGTTGAATTATAAGAATTCTTTATAAATTATTGACACTATACCCATATCAGACCATGGATCCCTTTTAAAGGAAGGTAGGTCTCAAATTTCATTAATCTCATTCTGCAAATGAAAACAAGAAAAAAAAAAAGTTGAAGCTCTTCTATTCCAACAGGAACGAAACAGGAATGCTATCACTGAATTGCTATCACTGAATTGCAAGTTCTTATTGTATAATCAGGTGTCTGGCCTAACAAAATGCCCCAAAGGCAGAGAAACGTATTTTATCAAATGTGAATACCTTACATCCTGTTCTTGGTTTGCGTAAGGCTTACTGCCTAATATTTGCCTTGGCAACAGTAGTTAGTTGATTCTTCCTTTTCTAAGTGTTAATGGAGCTTGAGCTATTTTTACATCTGATGGAAAGTTTTGCGATTCCACACATCAATACAAATTGCCTCACTTAATGAAAGTGACTGTAAGGAACAATCAGCTTTAAATGTGTCAAGGAAGGCTAAGTGCAAGGCTTATCACCCCAGCATCTCTAACCCATGGCCTGCCACATTAGAAAAGGCATGCAAAGCCCCTCAAATGATTTTAATATGCACAACTCCATCCCAAACTACAACTGAGAATTGCTCCCCAGCAATAACGGTATATTTGTTGGGCCCTTGCTCTGCTCCAAACGTTTTCTATGCAACGTACAGACAAATATCTTATGAGGGAAGCACTATTATCATCCATACTTTACGGATGAGGAAACTGAGGCATTGAGAAATTAAGCCACTTTCCCAAAGTAACATTGCCAGGAAGAGATGAGGTCAAAATTCAAACCCAGGCAGTCGGCCCCAAAGCCTATACTTTTGATCAACATTATATACATAGCCTTCCTAGTAATAGTTGCCCAAAGGGGACTAGGACCATAGGACACCACCCAGAGGCAAGTCCTTATGCATTTCAACACAACTCACTCAATAAATGGATCTAACCACTGTATTAGCCCTGAAAATAAAGAGAATCTCATAATTCTATGAAAGGAAAGTGGTTTTAACATCTGCCTTTTTTAGCCAGGCACAGTGGCTCATGCCTGAAATCTCAGCACTTTGGGAAGCCACAGCGGAAGGATCACTTGAGGCCAGGAGTTCAAAACCAGCCTGGGCAACATAGACCAGTTCAAGACCAGCCTGGCAAACATGTTTCTTTTTGTAGAGAAAAAAAAAAACAACATAATTGAGGTTTTTTCTCTACAAAACACACACACACACACACAATATCTGCCTTTTTTTAGATATGACCCCAAAAGCATAATCCATAAAAGAAAAAATATGGATAAAATGAACTTAATCAAAATTTAAAACTTGCAGTTCAAAAGATACTATCAAGAAAATGAAAAGATAAGTCACAGAGAAAAATATTTGGGAGAAAGACTTTTGCAAGTCCTATGTCTGATAAATATAAACATAAGAAATTCTTAAAGTTCAACAATAAAAAGATACATAATCCAATTTTAAAATAAGCTAAAGATTTGAACAGATATTTTCCCAAATAGAGGATATACTAATGGCTAATAAACTTATGAAAAGAGGCTCAACATCATTAGTCATTAAATAAGTGCAAATCAAAACCAAAATGAGATATTACCTCAGACCCATCAGAATTATTATAATCAAAAAGATAATAACAAGT